ATGTCATTTAAATTCTTTATAAGCTGTTAAATTTATATCATAAAAAAATATAGTTTAACATACATTATCTAAGTGAGATAATTTCTGTGTGTAATATACATCCATAGAATCAGTGTGACGCCATTGCTTAGCTCTTAATTCTATAAGTTCCAGCAGGTGAACCCTAGTCGTCAAATCTAGTTTTTCGTCTTGACTTCCATTTCTGATCGCCACAAAAGCTCTATCCAGCTGATCTGTGCACCAGGTTACAAAAATTTGAAGTATTAATATCTTAATCAATTATAATCTTTTAATCTTACAATTATTACTTTAAGTTATACCTTTATAAATAGCTTCTAAATGATGAGCATAAAGTTTTAAGTGATTACACATTGTAACCACACTTATTTGCAGCGTTCGATCATGGAAGCCATTAGTTAGTTGCATTGCAACATTATCGATTAAGGACACTATGTCCTCCTCTGTTAAATACAATTTTTAAACTCAATATATGAAAACAAAATATACAAAGATTATTTCAATAAGTTTGATTATAATGTAAACAAAATATTGTAATATAAATGAATAACAGCACAGATATGGAAAAATTTACAAGTTGAAATATAATACAATATATTTGTACAACATATTCTTTTATAGAAATATATTAAATAATAATTACCAGTCGTAATCCGCCCATCGACGGTCGAGTGGCGTTGATTGAGTTTAAGCGGCCGAGGTTTTTCGACTTTCTTGATAGTTCGAGCTCGGTTTAGTTGCGTCGCGGCCATTCTTTACAATCTTAAATAATTAAAAAATTTTTAAAATACATCTTTCACGCAATTAGAAAGCATACGTTTTAAACATGACCTTTCAAAATGTATTTTAACCAACAACATAATATGTATACGATTTTCTAGACGATTTCTCTTTACTTACTATTAAAAGATTTTGTAACATACTTGCTACTCATTAAACAAGCTAGATAATTTGTATAATCAATATTTACACAGATGTTACTTGTACTCTCTAGTAACTTAATACCACTTTAGAGTTGATATTTAAAGAAAAAGAATTTTCTACCGTTAAAAATTTTTAAGAAATAAGAAAATTTCATGATAAAATTGAATCTAAAATTATCGTTGAACTGCGCTATTTCATAAAATTAAATTCTACGAATTATATCCAAATGAAATTAACAAATAATAAGATATGTTTTTCTAATCTAGAAGCAATATCTTTCAGTCATAATGTTTTCTAATCATTTTGAAGAGAGCATTCTTCTAAACCCTCAATGTGTAGTTCTCCGCCGCGGGTGATTTAAAAATAACTACGGCAAGGAGAATGGTTCATGAACAAAATAATGACCAATAGCAAAGGAAAAAACTAAAGATTTAATATACTAACGTGAACTGTAACGGTATTTGTTACAGTTGACGGAGTTGGTGCAAAACGTAAAGTCTTTACAATAGTAGGTTATTTTACTGTAGTCTACGTAGCGACAAAAATAATTTATACGGTACCCATGTGAGCGCCTCTGGCACTTTCGACATCTTGCAAGGAACGTTAGAAGAAGAAGGTAAATGTATAAAGAACAAAGAGAGATGGCAAGCAAAAGAAAGGAGAAAACAGGAGTAGTGGGGGGTGGAAGGGTGCGAGAGCAAGAAGTACAAAGGAAAAAGAGAGAGAAAATATAATGAATTATTTAAGTTTTGTAAAGTATAAGATAAATAATATAGTTAAAATTTCATACGTATAAATTACAAAATATGAAATTATTATGTACCAGTAATTGACATAACTAGCACTAATACAAACTCCGAAATTGTGAAAGCTACAAACTACATCTTGTCAAGACAACATTTGACATTTAGTATCAAACAGATTGTTATACTAAAGCAACAGAATTTACAATTTTATATTTATCGCTGGGAAGAAACTTACCACCACGTCGGCCGTGCCACAGATCAACGACAGGCAGACCGTCTGAAAGAAATCGGTAAGATATGTCGTTGACGTACGTTGCGAAGGTGTATTCAAGTGTCTTAAATTTAAAACGATGATACCAACACGACGTTTAAAATTCACTAGCAAAAGAATCTAGTTGGATGTCGTTTTCCGAACATTCAAATGTGATTTCAAACGGTGTAAGGTAAACTTATTAAATTTATATGAAAAAATTATTGACATTGAAAACATTTTATTCAGTCAGTAAGAAGCATTCTACATGATGATGATGATGATGATGATGATGATGATGATGATGATGATGATGATGATGATGATGATAATGATGATGCTGATCATGATGATAATGATAATATAATAATAATAATAGTAATAATAATAATTATAATCGTAATCATAATAATAATATTAATCCATAATAATTCATTCATAATAACCATTTATAATATACAGGTAATACTCTCTCTCGCGCGCGCGCGCTCTCGCTCTCTCACACACATTGAATTGTCTTAGTACATAAATTACAGAAAATTTATCAATAAATGAAACGTTACATTCTTCAGACTATGAATGTAGTCAATAAATCATTCTTATCTCATTTTTGCTGCAAAGATATTTTGTTTCTCCTTTTAGTTTGGTATTCGGCAGCGTTGTTGGATTTGAAGGACTACTTTAAACTCACTGCCCACAGTAACGTTTACATATTTTGTGCTTCCTTTGTACATTGCTAAAAAATTTGTACCTGCTAAGCAGGTCAGAGATAACAAATCCTAGATACTTCTCTCCATAAGGCATAATATGTTCCATTATATTTCACAACAAAATTACGGTATCAGTAAATATATAAATGAACAATAACACAACAATGTAAACGTAACTGATGCAGTTGTATTATTGTAAATCCATATTTCTATTGATTTGAGGTAGTGTATTCAATGTAATCCTATTACTTTGCTGCTATATGTTGTGTGCGGATATGTGTCTCATATGAATATTCTTCACACCCATACACTTTTACTATAAGTCCAAAATATGCAAAATATGTTAGGAAACTTTATGTTTAATAAACAGATACAATCATAAATCCGTAAATCTTTCAGATTAGATTTCTTCTATTAGTGGCAAACAATGTGATACTTTTTAACAAGTATTTATATAGAGTTCAGAATGTAGAAATGAGGAATATGCACTATGTATATATGTATATATAAATAAATATATACACACACACACTCACACACAAGTGTCAGTATTTTGGACTTACAGTTATTTCAGTTGTAAGTGTGCTTCAAAAATTATCATCTATGTATAAAGTATGAGAAAACTAAATGTCGGGCAAATTTTGAAACCTATTATAATTTTGCATTAATTATTTTGTGCATGCCGTACGTTAAACGAGCATGAGATTTCATAAGTATGCCTTGACATTATTAATCAAAATCTTCCCGCTATTCAGTATTCCAACTTCATTACCAAATACGACAAGGCTGCTGACATTAGGCTTGCTAGCACTTGTAAATAATGCCCAGCAATTGTGCTATTCCGTTAGTTTCTTTAACTATTATTTCATGAATAATTTATCACATTTTAATCGTTTTCACAGATTGAAAAAGAGAGGGCACATGTAACATCATGCATTACCAAGTTGGCTCAATCTATGAACACTTTTGTAAAAAATATAACATCTATGGATGGTTGAGCCCTTGGTTAGCATATAGCGAATTAGTACTTTTGAAGGTAATGCGGATCACTTCTGCAGGAACGAGCACTGGATATAAATATCCATGTATGATCTGTATTAAATGCATTTAACATCATACTTCCTTTACTTTAAAAGGAAACATTGCTTTTGGGTTTAAAAAAATACCCAAAGTTATATCTAATACTTAAAAAATGGAACCTATTTAAGCACAAGAGACGGATACCCCTACAATTTGATTGTACAAACTCTTTATACTATTGCAGAAGTGATTTTCGCTCTAGTCTTCGTATATTAGTTTTTATTTCAATATCACACATACCCCCTCCCTAAGAAACTAAACACAGTAAACTTAAATAGGAATTGAGAAATTGACAATATCAATTTTGAATTTTGACACATTCGTGTTATCCTTATATTACTTTTAATATAAGTTTAACAACTTAACCAAATCAATCTAAAGTTAAAACAACAAATACACAATGTATAAACGCATTGTAAAAAATTAAACTTAACGTAAAATATGACTCACATCGAGATATAATAGCCTCAACAGTTTACCAGGGGAAAAACACAAACGAAACATACATATAATAGTAAAACTATTAACTACTACACTACTCTAAAATAGCGAGAAAATCCTAAGACACGCGATATCGCACGATGAACATTATTCTTAGAAGTTGCAGAATATTTGCAATTTCTAAAGTTATTTTCCCTTATTAAATTTGAATTTTCTAATTCTTGCATTGAATGTCTTGTGATTTTTACGCTTTTGTAACAATTAATTCAATATCATCCCTCCTGCTATGTTACTGGTTTCCTCATCTATAGCTGGAGAATATCTCAAAATAAAGCAGAAAACTTTTCTGCTTTCAACTTGTACGTTTAATTTACAATTTTAAATCTTGGAGCCGAAATCCATTATTTGATTAATTGTGTCACGATTATACGTAATTTTTTTTTATAAGTTAAGCTCGTATGTACCTTGACATTATTTTTCACGTACTTAATATCGTCGGAATATTATTTCCTGTGACTCATGGAATATTTCAACTCCATAGATAAAAATTGATTTTAGACAACAATTAAAGATTAAAATCATTATTAACTATAATTATCAATTACACAATCATTAGTATGTCTTATGTAGTAATAAATTACCATCGTGCTATTTTATTTCACCGTCGACGGTTGTCTTTTATTACTAGTTGTTTATGAGTTATTTAGCTTAACTTATTAACGAGTATTGATGGCATCTGCGTTTGTCAAGAAGAATTGAAGTAAATTTGCATTTTACCTTAATTATTAATGCTGTACGAAATTCAGCTTTTCAAATTTTTATAAAGTTGATTTAATGATGCCGTTTTTTCTTGAAACCTGCAAAAACAATTAAAATCATATTATAAGTGTTAAATTTTAGTAAAAAGTATGCGGACATAATGAATTGAAAGAAATCATTTACTTCTTTTAGCTTTGCCCTTTTTCTGGGTTTTTCTCTTTTTAGCAGATACAGAAGATGATTCCCCAAAAGTTGTAATTTCTTCTCCAAGTGTACCAAGAGTTGTCAATTGGCGACGTCTGTGCTTTTCTTGTTTGTTAACAGGCAAACGTGTCATATAATTTTCTTCATACTCTATCTTCCGTTTATTTTCACGACCTAGACTAGCCTGTTTCTCGCCTAGACCATGTGTATCTTCAATAGGCGCATCTAAGTATTCTTCCTTTAATTCCCTTAAAACAGCACCTGATACTGCACGCCTGCGAGCCCTTTCTCCTGCTTTACGAATTTTTTCTGCAACTGTCTCATCTCCATCTATAATAAAAGTACAAGATATTTAAGCATTATACTTTTTTATATTCTGAAATTACATTATAATTGCATTACTATTGATTATATAAAACCACAGATACTGACCATAATGTACCGCAGCAAGTTTTGGTGGTACATAAATATTAGATTTCCTTGCTTGTGTTGATTTAAAACCATCTACTTTACCATCCTGATCACTATCAGATTCTTCATCATTACTATCAAACGCATCTGGGTTTGCTTTAAAATTAGTTGGATCATCACTGTTAATAGTACCAGTTACAGCAGTCTTAACAAGCTTATCTATTTGATATTTAAGTTTGTGATCTATTGGTCGGATTTTTTCTAGGACAGTTCTGATTTCAATTAAGCGATCAATTGATGGATCTCCTTCTATACGTTCTCCTGAACATTTTCTCAAAACTACATATGTCAAATTAATCAGATAAGAAAGTAACATATGATATTTCATTTCTAGGAAACTAAGACCCTTGTCTGTAGAAATTTCCCCATTTTTAACACGAACTAACATGTTGTCAACAAGTTGATTGACTTGTAAGACATTGGCATTCATCTCCCCAAGCAGACGAAATGCTTGTGGGAGATCTCTTTGTTCCATTTCATCAATTGCCTGTAAACATAATTTTTCATCTTTAAAAATGAGCACTTAATTTAAAATAAAAATTTAAACATGCACATTATGTAATAAAAAAACATTGTAATACCCTCATTGTGGTCATATTTTACTTAAAAATATGAATATTTATAAATAAGTAATTCACAATGAATATTCATTCATAAAATTTTGAATTTTTACTTCATTTTGCAACAAATATCATTTAACAATATCACTTAAAATTTCTATGTCGTCTTACACCGTATTTGACACAAGTCCAGTATTCAAAAATTATTGTGTATTCTATTTATCTCAACATTAATCACATTTTATTCAAAAAAATGAAATACGCGCTAAATTCTGTTCATAAAACTGAAGTGTAACCAATGTTTTTATATAACTTTCGATCGAAAATTTATAGAAAGGCTTAATTTTAAGAAAAATGTCGGACCCGTGGATGTACGGGAAAAAAGCGCAATAATCTGCTGCCATCTTTCCTATTTACTAATGGATGACAACGGAAAAAAAACAATCAAAAATTTCCAATAGACCTGATAGAAAAATGCATTGATTTAGACAATCTGTGTAGAAATTTATGAATATAATATGTTTAAAAGTTTCCACTCACCTGTACCATTGTTCTGAAATAAAAATTAACCGAACAGATGCATATCTAAATAACGTAACTTGTAATTAAACGAGTCCCCACGTGGGACGATATTTTCCTTTTCGGGGGTATATTTTTTCGCTCGGAAAAGCTTGATCAACAGACCTACTATTATGCACTACAAAAGTTCCCATTTTTTATAAAAAGTGAACTCTTGCAAACGTGAAAATAATAATTTTAATGCATTATGAATTTATAATATGTAAATTAAATGTATTAAGTCGATGATTAAGTAATATTTCAGATTTATAAAAGACTCACTTCCTTTCCTTTCGCAAGGATAAAAAATTGCGGGAATTTCAAGAATAAACAATAAAGAATGGTTTTACATGGCGATTAAACGTTTTCAGTATTATACTAAAAATTTGATATATTATTTTTTTCATCAAAATCAATGACAAGTTTGAATAAGAAATGAAATAGCCATTTAAAGAAAAGAAAAAATAAAGTATCAATATATTAAATAAAACTCAAACAGATAAGATTATTATGTAGGAAATGTATTTAATTTTTATTTCATTTTTGCATGTACTGTAAATTTACATGAATACTTACATGTGAACATATATCCGTATATGAACATTATAAACTTTTTCTTATTTTAAACAACTGAATGAACAAATGTAACCAATAATTAGTACTGCGGTGCGGAGAATAATGTATGATTATTTAGCTATAAGTGTAACTAGAAATAAAGCTACTAGGGACTTTCATAAAGAATCATTCTTAGTGTTACTTTACCGACAAATGTTTCGATACAAACTTCACGTTGAAGTAAATTTCATTTTTGACGTGAACGGAGTGGGAACTCTGAGAGTAGCAATCAAGAATAAACTAAGGGGTACGGCGTGGCGCGCCTTTGATGAAAAATAATATTGTAGAATGGTAAATATTATTACTTATTATTTTAGTGAAAAAACTATTAAGATTAAATATTAGAAACTGAAAATACTTATTGTACTGACGTGGCGGTTCTTTTCCGGTATAATATTTTCCAATTTCATAACGAGTGTATTTGTAAAGTACAATTCCATTAGTCCTGTCAAGAACTTAATGACACTGTTTATCATAGTTACGATAAAAATGTTTTATGTATCAATGTTATTAAATTCAGTAATTAGTTAAAATTCGTGAAACATGTATCTAATATGAATAATTGTACGCATTTTTATTTAGAAATAAATTATTCTTGAAATTACCCCTGTTGTAATTATATAGATATTATTAAAAATACTAATTAGTTCAATAGAAATACACATGTATTACATATATTATGTTTTCTTTTGGCAGGGAAGACTAAAGAGAAACAGTGCTATACTTGTCATAATATCCTTATTAATTGAGACAAATGGCTTCTATGTGCCTGGTGTTGCTCCTGTAGAGTTTAAAAGGGGCCAAAAAATTGACGTGAAAGCAGTTAAAATGACCAGTACTCATACACAATTACCATATGAATATTATTCTATTCCTTTTTGTATACCAAAAAAGGGAACTCTCATTTATAAATCAGAAAATTTAGGAGAAGTATTACGTGGTGACAGGTAAGATTTCTTATTTGTTGTATTTTTAGAAACTAATTTGGTTTAATTTTGCATAGGATTGTAAATACACCATATGAAGTATCAATGGCAGAAAACATAACCTGCAGCTTATTATGCCATGGACATAATGATGGGCATATAACATGGAATGAAGAAGAGTCACAGCGTGTCATAGAACGCATTCAACATGATTATACTGTGCACTTGTATGTACATATAGACTTGTATTTTGCCTTAAATGTGCACTTATATAAATTTTATTTGTTCCTAGATTAATTGACAATTTACCAGCAGCAACAAAGAAAGTTCATAAAGATTCAAATAATGTAATTGTATATCATGGATATCGTTTGGGTGGTATTGTGAATGACCAATTCTACATTAATAATTATCTTAAACTAAAATTAAGTTACCATAAATATGGAGAGTTAGTATTAATCATTATACATAATTATATATGCAAATAATATTGCATGTAACTATAATTTTTTACTTTTCACAGAAATGAATTTAGAGTAGTTGGATTTGAAGTAGAAGCTCGCTCAGTTGATGTAAATCAACTAAAGAATGATGGAACTACTTGTATATTGCCTACACATGCAAATCATCAATTTGTTAATCCTAAAGGAACCAAGCTTCTGTTTTTATATTCTGTGGAATGGAGGGAGTCTGATGTAAGTTGGGCAAGCAGATGGGACATATATCTAGGAATGAGTGATGTTGAAATTCATTGGTTTTCAATCATCAATTCTCTTATTGTAGTCCTTTTTCTTTCTGGTAAATATACATTGTATCTTGTGCTTTTAATGTTTTAATCATTTTAAGTTGTATAGACAAAAGGTTCTGATAAAATTCTATAGGAATTCTAACAATGATTATGGTCCGAACTTTGAGGAGGGATATTGCACGCTATAACGCGGGTGAAAGTGACAGTTTAGCAGGCTTAGATGAGACAATTGAAGAAACTGGTTGGAAGCTAGTTCATGGAGATGTATTTCGACCTCCACCAAATCCTCGGTTATTTGCGGCTGTAATAGGCAGTGGAATTCAAATATTTTTTATGGCTTTAATAACAATATGTAAGATTTTTTTGTTATATAAAAAACTCTTGAACTGTCAAACATTTTTATGCTACTTTCTTACATATTTTTAGTTTTTGCCATGTTGGGTATGCTTTCTCCTGCTAGTAGAGGAGCACTTGGAACTTGTGCAATATTTTTGTATGTATCCTCTGGTGTGATAGCGGGATATTTTTCTGCGCGTCTTTATAAAACAATGCGCGGTCGGAAATGGAGAAGAACAGCGTTTTTGGTAAGGATAAAATATATTAGTATATCAAGATAAAGATTGAAAATTAAGATAAAATTTGATATGTCGTTATATTGTTTATTACAGACAGCAACACTTTATCCTGGTATAGTATTTACTACTTGTTTCTTTCTAAATTTTTTTATATGGGGAAAACATAGCTCTGGTGCAGTACCATTTACAACAATGTTAGCACTGTTGTGTTTATGGTTTGGTATATCACTTCCTCTTGTATATCTTGGATATTTCTTTGGATATCGTAAACAGCCTTTTACACATCCTGTAAGAACAAATCAAATTCCCAGACAAGTTCCTGATCAGTTATGGTACATGAATCCAATACTGTGGTATGTTTATGAAATTAATATAATTTACTCAAATATCTACAATTGTGTTTTTATATTAAATTTAAAGTACGTGTTTAAAATTGTTACAGCACACTAATGGCTGGAATTCTTCCCTTTGGCGCTGTTTTTATAGAATTATTTTTCATTTTGACCGCATTATGGGAAAATCAATTTTATTACCTCTTCGGATTTCTGTTTCTTGTTTTTTGCATACTGGTCATCTCTTGTTCTCAAATATCCATAGTTATGGTGTATTTCCAATTATGTGGCGAAGTGAGTATTAGATAGTTATTTTTAATTTCGTTCATAACATACATTTAATGTACTTTATTCATTATTAGGACTATAGATGGTGGTGGAGGAGCTTTATTGTCAGTGGAGGATCAGCTGTATATGTCCTAGCCTATTCAATCTTCTACTTTATGACGAAACTAGAAATAACAGAATTAATCCCAACACTTTTATATTTTGGTTACACTGCATTAATGGTGTTAACATTTTGGTTATTAACAGGTACAATAGGATTCTTTGCAGCTTATGCGTTTATTCGAAAAATATATGCTGCTGTAAAAATAGACTAGTCAAAATAATCATTGACAAGGTCAATGATGGAAGAGAGTAACACTTTTTATGTTACAAGGAATATTTAATTATTTTAAATTAAATATATGAAACCAAAATAGTACAATAGTTTATCTTCACTTTCAATAGGTTAATCTAATTTGATTAAAAATGAGTAATACATTTACCAAATATTACTCATAAATGTTGTAAAAAATAATTTGTTTATAGTAAAAAAATATGTAAAACTTTACGAATGAACAGAAGCAAATTGTGATCTGATAAAATAATGTACAACTTTGTTCACCACATTATTAATGGACAGTTTTAATTTTTTATTGTTTATTAAAACTTAATCGAATATTTCGTTATTATTAAAGTACTTATGGATCATAAAACAGAGTACTACTCAAATTCAATAAAGGATATACATACATATGAAGAAGATGCA